AAATAGCACATTGCAGCCTTAGTCATAGTAAGAAATATATTAGTTACAGTGTGTACTCTACTGGAGAAATTAAAAAGGCAGAAATAGAAATTAGTGATGTTGTTAGAACTGCCGTGAAGAGTCTTTGGAAGCTTTGTGTTCTCATTGTGGGAGAATTATTGTATCTGGATGATTATCTGTTTATGATGTATATACAACTATTAATATAAAAATTTGCAGAACATACATTTCCTAGTGTTGGAAGAATATTTGTTATGAATTTGTATGTATGTAAGTCTCGTTGTGTAGGAGGAAAATAGGAAAGCCATTAGGTGTCCTATGAAAGGAAGACTTCAGTAGTGTTTATCCAAAGAGATTTTTATATAAAATGATCATAAATTTTAGAAAATTAATATCTCTATTATATATATATATAAATGTATATCTATGGCATATATATAAATTGCACTATGTGGAAACACTGTGTAAGGAGAAAAGACGACTTTTCATTCCAGTGATGTTCCAAAGCACCCAGTCTGTGGCTCTTGCTCTTTCCATGCTGTTTTCATAATCGTCTAATTAGAGCAAGCCATGGCATGGATAGATGGGTTTTCCTCCTCATGCTTTTTCCTCCATTTTAAGAAAGATTCACTTACACCTAATTCCTCCCCAAAAAATGGTAAGCTTTAGTTTTCTCTTTGTGCTCGTAAGTTAGCTCAAAATTTGTGACTTAGTAGTTGTCCACCTTTTCTTTGATGTATAGGTTTCTGTCTTTTGTTGGACCTTTTACATGAAGTCTTGCACTATTAAAAGGGAAAGAATGTGTTGCTTATCTTCCCCCTGCCTCCTCAAGAGAGTTGGTCAGCTTTATATGAACCATTGATGCTGGATAAAAATTTCAAGCATCATTTGTGCCTAAACTCTGCAATTCAGATTAGTTTTACCCGCAGAGAGGTGTTAGATTGAAGGATCTGCTTCTTTTTTTCACTTTAAAAATGACATCTGTTTCCTCCTGCATTATTGCAGCCCGTGAAGATGACTGGTGGAACAGGGAGGCAGCTTGTTTTGATGTTATATCCTTCACAAATAGTGATGAACTAGGGATCAATATAGAGAGAAAGAGATCTTTTGCAAGTTAAAATTGCAAAATTGCTTAAAATCTAAAGATGGACTTTCTTTGGAGAGAATCTTCTCAGTTTAGTAACTTGGGAAGAACTTTGGCTAGTGTAGTAAATAGAGAGTGCTTTCTAAGATATTTACGTCTCATTGTTAATTTCCCAAATGTGGCTAAGTTGTAGTTTTCTGTTGCGGTTTATCTGGTTCAGCTGCATACTGCCGTCATAAATTTATTGCATATTATTTAGCTGACTAAACAGACTTGTAGACAGGATCTTGAATTCCCAAAATAAAATAAATGGGAGATGAACAAAGGTTGGAAAACCCCAAATAGGTTTACAAAAATCATTGGTGCTTATTTAGGAGAAGGTAAATCCTGATAAAAAAATGGGTTTACAGTCTGATATTTGCCCTTGCGGTGCTTCTTTACAATCATGGCAGCCTTAGAAGGATCCCGTTACATTGCTTGAAATGTACACCCCTTGAAAATCTGTAAGACTAAAGAATATTTTTCCTCTGTCTTCAGTAATGTTTTATGCCTTTTGTTTTTAATGAACTAGAGAGTTAAAATGAACAAAATCGTTCTACTGGCATGCCAGATTTCCAACTGAAAACTGTTTTTCTTCAATTTCTTCGACTTTTAGACTCATACAGGTTCACAAATTGGAAAATATTTATTACAGATTAGAGGTAGGGTTTGTTTGATTCTGCTGTTCGGTGAATGTATGAAGAGATAATTGGGCTAATGAGACTATGAAATGTGCTCTATTTAAATTAGTTGATTTATCTTTAAAATATATTCAAGTTGTAGGAAAGCATGGTGGTTTAGATCTGCTGTTCTCTCGTAATGAAGTTACATTTTATACAATAAAGATTATTAAGGCTTATTATGAATGTTACCAGAGACGGTGTGTGAGGTTTGCTTGAATGCATTATTGTTAGCTACTCTGTATTTGAAGGCCAAGTGATATTTGTAAGTAATGTAAAAACTATTCACATGAAGAAAAGTTGTCTTTTTTTTATATTGGAAGGAACTTGGAGTCATTGCAAGACATATGATTAGTATTCATGTCATAAAAGAAAGTTATTTCCAGGGTAAAGGAATTTGTGAAAAGATAATTGGTTAGACCAACATTCTCATTAACCTAATTTGCATTAAATGTGCTACTGTGAATTGTAGTTATTTCTTTTCCATTTGAAAGGCGTGCTTTGTTAACTTAAGGAGCCTAGTTAAACTGCAGTTTAAGTCATACCCTTTAATTCAGCAATGCAAAATCAAACTGAGGATCTGTTATTACCAGCTTTGTGAGTGTGGAGAATCATAAACCAGTTCTTGATCCCAGCGGATTTTCCTGTTGAGGTAGGTTTGTTTAGCTGCTTTACATCTGGTCATTCACAGGTACTGATAGCATTCAACTAATCCTCTAGTTTAATTTTACTCCTTTGTAAAAGCAGAGGAAACTCTTTATTTCCTCTGTGACAGAGCATGAGAAAGAACTGGAGGAGTCTTGGGGATACTGGAAGAAAATACTTATGCCCTTGTTCTAATAGTATGAACACTTTGAGGATCACTTGGTTTAATTATTTTTCAATAAAATTTCTTTATGGATGTAACTAAATTGAGCCTTTAAAATATGAGCTGTTAAAATATAAATTAATGTGCACATTTTTGTACCCTTTTTAAAATCATGAGACCTAAGAATGAATTTGGATTTCTTTAATTTTCAACATTAATTATTACTTATTAGCAGTATTCTAGATATTTTGAAAGAGACGATTTGTTTGCTGTTGTGCTGTGTGCAATGAAGAGGAAGGCACCTTTGTGCAGCTAGTCAACTGTGAGCGTTGTTAAGTATTTGTGTCTGCAGATAGATACATGAAGACCAAATCTTATTTTTCCATACTGCTGAGCATACCTAACCGTCATGAAATCTGGTGTTTGTGAATTGTGCGAACTAAACATCTGTAAAGTTAGGCTGCTTCGTAGGTATCTGAATGTTAATTTCAGTGCTTAATTTTAATTACTTGCACTAGTACTGTTTGACACCGGTTGTTTTCAAAAGAGTAATATCTGGAGGTGTTGAAGGTGAACCAAAGCCTAGCAGATCAGGCAAGGCTGTATGTCAGCCCAGTAGTGCTGAACAGTGTTGGATAAACCTAATGAATTTGCAAAGAGGTGCAAATTCAAGCTGGACATGGTAATGGCCATAAGTATATATAGAAATACTCAGCTGAGAAAGTCACTTTCTTGCTGGCATGGTTCTGAAGAGATGGTGATGGCCATGCCAGGTACACAGTGTGGTTAGCAGATGAGTACATTGCATACCCAATGAGCATACATGAAATGCAATGAATTAGAAATGCACTTCAGATTTAAAAAAAAAAAAAAAAAAAAAAAAAAAAAGGCTTGGCCAATACATTTTGCATTCCAGCTGGGAGATGGTTAAGGTCTCCCTTTTTTTATTGTTTGGCAAAGTATTATGGCAATTACTGTGCCATTTTGCTGCTTATTCATTCTGTTTGCAAAACAGAAGCTGGCTGATGGTTGCACTGTTAATAAAATTGCTGAAAGGCTGAACTTCCCTACATTTTGGGACAGGCAGACAATGGAAAAGAAGCCAATTTTGGGGACAGCATATGTTTGGATTTTGTACGCACGATTAAGGGCGTGATTCAGGAATTGTCAAATGTATGAATGGCAGTTAGGATACTGAGAGCCAAATGGAAGTTAGATGCGCAGTTGTTGGTAATGCCATTGAAAACGTCCTCTAGCGCATTCATTCTCTGTTGG